GAATTAAAAACTTCATATTTGCTGAAATAGGTTTTGCAGTAAAAGATTAGGTTACTCATGATGATGAGTTTAACCTAAAAGGATTTAAGTGATAGCACATTGAAGGTTTGGATGAACCATTGTGCAAAGGTTGTTAGCTGTGATAACAAGTTCCCAGAACAGGATACAACGTGGGAAGAAAATGAAAGCCTGTAACAACTATTTTCATTAGAAACTGCTGCAAAAACTGAAAGAAAACCGGTAGAAGAGCATTTTACCACAAGCTTTGAGAAGGGGATTTTCTTTACTCTTTCATTGCATCTCAAAACAAAAAACATACTGTTTGGTTTGTGGTCTTTTGGGCTGGATGGATGGTTGCATCTCTGTGCCAAACCTTTTATGTAAACAGTGTCCCAGCAGAAGCATGTTTTGCAACAAACTCATCATAAAAATCTATTGTTATACTTCAATTTTCTCACATTCTCTCATGGTGATACCTGAAACAATGAGGATTGTATGGTATGTCATTTCATCTTTATTATTATTTAGGTATATTTTCTTATTTTTGGTGTTTAGTCATTTTTCTACATCATGAACTGTGGATTTTAAACATGCCAAAATATAGCTGTGCAACAAGAACTGTGCAAAACTATAAAGAAAGATAATGCAATTTTTTAAAGATTATTTGTTGATCTCTTAAAAATGTAGCCTTCACTTGCACTCTTCAACTTTTACTGTAATACCCCTTGACAACACTATTTGACAAATTATCTAACATAGTCCATGTGAGAGCAGTTTGAGTTCATTTTAAGTTCAGCTGTTTGCAATGACTTCAGAGCTTTTTTAGAGAACCTTGGTGAATAAATGGCAATCATGGGGACTGAGGTACACATCAAGATAGGAGATAAAGTTGTAAAAACAATTTTATAATCTCTAAGTACACCCCCCACCCCACCCTCCACTACCAAAAAAAAAAAGTTTGTCCAATCCATTAACTGAAAATATAGCAAAGGTAAAAATTTGCCTTGACAGCTAAGCTGTCAAGCAAAGCAGGAGACTGTTAATCAGAAAAGGCTCAGGTAACTCAGCTCTAAGAGCTTCAGAGAGAGAAAGTTCAGATGGTTAAAATAAAACTTTAGTGCACATTTAAAATATTACATTCCCGGAACAGTGTCTATAAAGGCTATTTTTTGAAGGAGGTGCAAAGATTTCCCATAGCTTTTAGTTCACTGACATTTATTCATCTTTGCATGAAATGTTTAGAACTTTCAGTTAGCAAGTGTGTGCGGGATAATCGCCAACCTCAACTCATTTCTAGCTTTTTATTGGTTTCTGTGTGAACATTTGTTTCTGTCTCCAATCTACTCCATTTGCTCTGCTTCCAATAATTTGTTCCTGATGCGATCTGGAAGGCAGTGAAATAAATGATCAAAACCAACCTCTGTTGGCTTCAACCGTTGTTGTTTTTTTCTTTTTTCAATATAAAGGAACTTTCACTTTGTTGTGATTTGTTAAACTGTTCATTTTCAAATAATTTGAAAGGTATTTGTAAGGACTCATTGTAAAGTTTATTTCTGGTGGCTGTAATCCGATGTTTGTACATCTTGTTGTATTTTAAAGCAGAACAAAATCATTGTTTCACTTTCTGAGAAATGTTTCCTGATTCTACAGAATGATATCTACTTCCAGATTTCTAGTGAAGTACTGTTACTGGATTTACAGCTAGCAGACGATAAAGAATGTTGAACACATTGCTCTTTCTTCAGCTGGTAATTCTTAGTCAGAACCTCGGATCAGATTCCTTGTGGAGCCTGTAACAGGAAAATGGTAAATATCCCTTGATATTTCCTCAGGTTGTGTCACGTGGCTTTTGGATGATGCTGTTCTCTCTCCATAATTTATTAATAACATATAAGTAAAGGTCATGCACATAAATATTAACAACAGGTCTCACAACTCTTTTTTTCAGTGTCTCTTCTCACATGCCCAGTTGGTCTCCTGCAGATGTTTGCTCATACTGAGTTGGATTTTGCAACTTGTGGATCATCAAAATTCCTTAGATTATGACATTCACAGCTTCACAAATTCAACAACATGAAGAGGGATGAGTCATTTGGGAGATACTGTATACACTCCACACTAAAAATCCCTTTGGAGGTTGTCATACAGAGAAAAGTTGCTACTTTCAAGTCAAGCCTAATTTCTAAAGATGAATCTGAGATACCGGTAAATGAATCTGTTGTGCAGTATCATCATCTCAATGAAATGTAAGAAAATTTCAAAATTGAATTGGAGAATTTTTATTCAGTTTGGGAAAATCATCTCTTTACATGTAAAGAAACAAAAGCTAGTGGATCAGTAATTAAATATTTATATAAAAATAAGGTCAAAAGTCTTTGAAACTATTTGATGATATGTGCAGATGGGAGAACAAGTATTTAATAAGCAATTTTGCAGATCTTACCATTTGCAAGGCATGTAAAATCATGAATTTTTGTCATAGGTACTTAATATTGAGCTTTCGCAGGCATTATTAGTAACACAAGACACTACCTGCTGGTGAAGATTCTCAGTCATACAGGTCAAAGTCATTCCAAAAAAGTTATAAAACAATCTACTGGACTTTGTTTTCCATGTTTAAAGATGTTTCGCTTCTCATCAAGGAAGCAAAACAGGATTGTTTTTTTTTTTTTTTACTTTTTTGGAACAATAGATTTTCATGGACTAAAATCCTGCAGTGCACCCCAGATATGTGCTGGATAAGCCAGCACACGTCCAGGCCCATCTGAGGTTTTCCAGTGACCATCTGGATTATTCAGAGGAAGAATTCAGCAATATATGAGGAGATCTAACCCTGATACCCCGTCTCCTCAGTGAAGGGATTGAAGGTGGGTCGTGGTTCTGTCCTCTATCAGGGCAATACAACGGCCGAAAAAAAACTATATCAAGTACATGATCTCCCAACTGTAAATAAAAACTGGCTGTTTGGATGGTAGACCATCAAATTTATACACTGCTTAATTTGGCTGAAATGTTACAACATTGAGCTTTCTGGCATCAAGTATTTCAAGGAGATCTAACAAAGTGCAAATGGTGAATGTGAAAATCACCACATTTTCACTGTTTTTTATCATGATAATGCTTAAAGCCTGTTTCTATTCCAGGGTCAGAGAAAATATTTTTGATAGAATTCTGCTGACACCTACCAGTAAAAGGATAAGAAGCAAGCTTTATCATTCTGAGATAAAGTTAACTTGACATGGCTGCGTTTGTACACATAAGACCTACGCAATGATTGCTGCACAGATCTAAGCAGCATGGTGAAAACTGCCAGAGGTTGCCTCAAGGCTTTTACAGATGTCTTAATGTGGTGTTGTGCAATAAATGTTACATGGGGGTCACTGTTAGATGCAGCAAAGATGTCTTCTTAAGTCCACATCTTGTATGCTCACCATCCCAGTCACCAGAAAACGAGAGAGCAAAGAAAAACAAAAGTATTAAATAAACTTTATATCTCTGTGTGATTTATGTTCAGTATGCAGCGAACACATCAAGGGCGTAGGTTTGATTTCAACTTTGGTAGCAACACTATTGGTCTGATGTCATTGGTCCTATGCAAAAATATGCATGCTTGTTTTTTTATGCTTGACTGGAAAATCAGGGTGTATTTCGTTTAAAGAGAAATCACTACACACACTAGATGCTGTTTATAATGACTGAAGCTTAACTGGTTCTGATGAATGATGAATTATGACTTTTTTTCCACTTTGAAAAGGTTTGCATTTGAAATTACCAGCGACTAAGACGGAAAGTGAATCTGTGCCTATTTAACAGAATATAGTCTAAATGTGTCTGTTATATGTGGATTTATACTTTTTTTTAATTTTGAAGATATAGAATTGTGCAGAGGTAAATAGAGGTAAAACCCACTCTTTTAAATGTTCTCTTTGTATCATGAAACAAAGCAAAATAATAGATTCAAGGGGCGCCAAATAAATGCATTGTATTTACATGTGCCCTGGAACTAGAAGAGGAACTGACACTGAGCATTTAATATATTTACCTCACTCTACAAGTTGTACATCTAGGATGTAGTTACTCTGTTTAACCCATTTCATGTATTTTATTTAGGGCTGAAACAATTCATCGGATTAATCAATTATTGAAATAATGTCAACAAATTTAGTAATCAATTAATCGTTAACTGGAGTATAGAGACTCTAGAACATGTCTTTAGCTCACAGAGTGACCCACTTAGAGCAGGAATTATACCAAAATTGATTAAAAAAGAAATAAAAATAAAAATTTTGCATTTTACATAAAACATGATTTCATCTGTCAATATTCTCCATCCATAACTCCTCTACTGCTGCAACAATGCTGTATTGTAAATTATAAACATGTTATTCACATGTAATTGTTGGTAGGGACAAGTAGGTCGGTCCAAAATGTTGGTAAGGACATGTCCCTATGGTCCCTATGATCACATGGAGAACATCCCTCTGGCCTGCTGCTAAGTTTAACCGAGCAATGCTGAAACTGATGCAGAGTGATCTGCTGCCCCCTTGCGGATATATGCGGGGTTACGCTGAAAAGCTCTAATCTCATTACTGGAAGCAGAAAAGCAAACCGCTTGTGTGAAAGAAGTCAGATACAGAATTTTGCAAATATGTCCGCCTCCTAAATATAGCTTTAAATAGAAATTACGGCTGATGTGCACCTTTTTACAGTCATGCCAGGCACCGCTTGTCAAGTGGATTAGGAAGCACATTTATATTAATGTATTTATTCAGAAAATAAATAAATATTAGCACATTTCTCTGCGATTTGCTTTGCGCACGGAATATTTATTCACACTAAAAATCAAAAAAGAGAAAGAGAAGCAACGCTTTAAACGGTGCGTATTTACGCGCAGACCTGAACGCCCACTGCTGAGAAGCGCAGAAGCTGATTGGCTACTAAAGATACCGGCGGCTGATCCCCGCCTCTGATTGGCTGCAGCCCCTGTACAAGTTACGTTATGCTTACTCCACTCACTCTGGCAGATGGAGAGAGGGAAGACGTAATGGTTTGATTCCCTAACGCTGGCAATGGTCGTCGCTTTGACATTACTCTGCAGATCCCTCTAACAGGAGGAGAAATGAAGGTATGTGCATCCATCTCAGCTGATGTGGGATTTGTAATTACTAGTCATTTTTTGGGGCGGGGGAGGGAGGATGAGTGCATCATTCTGCAGGAATAAATAGGGAATACCCCTCTTCCTTCCTTCAATGTAAATTAATCCCAATGTATACTTCTCCAATACATGACATCGATTCGCTTTAAATTCAGGATTTGCAGTTTATTTTAAAGGAAATGTCTAAATAGGCGCTGTTAAGTTGATTATATCTCTTTATTGCGTCTTTTTGGGGGCTTCTTGTGCGTTTTAAGCCTTGCTGATGAACACCGGGTACACTGTGTAGCTTTCCAATGAGCCAGCTTTGACCCTAGTGTGATAGTTCAGTGGACTAAAGCTCTGGCAGAGGCGTCCATTCACCATTAGACTGTAATCCGCTCTAACGGGATAGAGAGGCTGCGATCAGAGGTGGACATGGAGAGGATCCCCTGGTCAGGTCTGGAGCTGCTTCATCCCCTTCCCCGTGTGTGTGCAGCTTCTGCACACTGTTTATTCTTGCAGCAGCGCGAGATATAAAATGAGATGAAGAGGATGGAGATGATGTCATTGGTACCCTGATGATGCTGCTGCTGCTGCTGGTGGCTTTTCTGTAGAAAGGTGGACTGTCATGCACAATTAGGCATCAGTGTGAGAACATAGTGTGAAAAACAGCATCTCACCTGCTAGAAGCTGCTGAAATCCACCTGCTGAAGAAGATGCAGCCTTCAGTCAGATTTTAAAGGTTGCAGTGCAGGGAACAATGAATGAATGGCCACTCTGTATCTAAAAGTGCTACTATAGCCGGGTGATCTATTGAAGCAACAAACAGTTAGGTACATTGATGCCTAACTTTTGGGGATGATACAATTCTCCACCGTTTAAATGAATGAGTTGAATGAGTGAGAAAAATACCAATAAAACCACATAAGACCAACACATTTATTGGGAACACAGCAGAGGCGTAGCCAAAACATTTTTATAAGAGTGGCCAGGCAATAAACAATGTACACTGAGGGGTGGCTGAAAGAGGATAGGCACCAGAACCTTAGGGTCAATCTACACTTTTCCAACAGAAAAATTAACAAGCAAAACATCCATATTTTCTAAATAAAGACACACTATATTTTCCTAAAGCCTTTACTAAAAAATAGACACATATATATTTAAACATCCGTGCTTTCTAAATAAAAGTTATAGTGGATTAAATTCTTTCAGTTTTGAGATCTGGAGCGTAAATCCATTGTCATTACTTACCTACTTCTATCAATAAACACTCTGCATAAAATTTATTTTTAAAAGCACTAATATCTACATAAATGGATTATTTAATAAGTTTTTATCAAAAGTGTTATCTATCTTTGATTTCACTGAAGACTAAATTACTTGCAGAGAGACATATTTTTCTCTTTACCCCATATAACGCAAAGTCTAGAAAAGAACATGAATTCTGTACTTATCATATTTGATGTTAGTATATTGATGTGTATTATTAACCACAAAAAAATTTAATGTTTTGAATATTCCACTTGAGAATGTTACTGTTGCCACCATCAGCATTAGAGGGGAGAAATGGTAGGGGTGGCCAGTAATTGGCTAAGGGTGGCCATTGCCACACCTGGCCCCCCATCTAGCTCCGCCAATGGAACGCAGTAAAAGAGGTGTAGTAAGGTTTAATGTACATTCCTAGAAATAACATTTCAATAATTGGTCCAGCTGCAGCTTGGGTGGAGTTTATATAAATAGTTCTCTGTATTCCAGACAGTAACGCTGTACTTGAATGGCATGCAGTCTTGTAGTTCTCGTTTTGGTCAGTGGACATGTGAAATCACTTGTACACTAACAAGGGGCAACATAGATTAAAAATAAGAAAAACAGTGTTTAAAAACAGTATTGAAACTTATATGGTGAGAAGACATGATAGATAAACATGCCAGAGTAGAGAGACAAGAAAGGAAAATATTCAGAAATATGTCATAGAAAATGAAAATATGTTAACCATGGTGAAAATGACGAGCCTTAAGGGAGACTTAACATTTCTAAGAAGCATAGACAATAAATTAATACTAGAGATGACAAAAACTGTTATCCAACTTAATCAATAGGAATAATTATAAAAGTAAAATATAATCTATTAACAGCTGCAATAAAACAAAAAAGGGAAGAAAATGCAGTTATTTAAAAATAAAGATGCAGACCCTGCAGCAGTGGCCATGATAAGTGCTGTCCAAAAAGAGCCAGTTAAAGGAAGCAGCATGCTTCCTATTGCATAAGGACCTCCTGACGTCCCTGGCCTACACTAGGAACTATATGGTTACCCTCAATCCATTGCATTAGAGAATATAACATAAACGTGTAGCCCACATCACAGACTTGAACAAAAATATGTTATTTCATGGCACATGCTCTATCATACACATGGAAATGTATGGACCTTCATGTTTCAATCATTTTATAGCAGAGAGCTTCAGCTCTTCACTAAATTTATGTAACTTTTGTCTTTTTTCAGTTGTTTTCCAAATGGCTGTTGTCCCTATTAGACCAGCATTGTAAATGTGTGTGTCCGTCGGGTAATGCACAGCAGTCTAGAGATCCTTTCCTACCCTGGATCAATGTCTACCCTGTGAAAGGTAAAGAAATAGATGCTAGGAGCAGGAGCCCAATGGAACAAGACGTCATGCTAATACTATATTAGAAACTGTACTACAATGTGAAATAGAGTTTTGTTTGTAGGATGTTGCTGATCTAAACCAGTGCTTAATAATTCCAATTAAAGAGGTCAATGGAGCTTCTGTAGCATTCACAGAGGATAGGGTTTGGCACTGATTAGACACAGTTTCATTTATATACAAGTCAAAAACAGCACTGACACATCTTGGATTCTTTTTGCTTCATGGAAAATAGGGCATTTCTTCAGTTGCTTTGAGATATTCTCATATTTTCCACAGTTTTTAATTACAAAATTGTGGCTGATAAGGAGAGAGAAAAAAAAAAAAAAACTACAGAAGGCTTAAATCTGTGAAGTAAATTTTCCCAGAGGCACATCATCACTCACATTGTCCCAGGGAAGCCAAATGGACGTGTTGTTTTATTGACTAATCAGGCTTAAATTGAAAAGCAGCTTTTCTGCCCCTGTGGATGAGCGACAGCATTTGCGTACGCAAGCGTGCATCTCAGGCTATAAAATACTGCTGCAACGAGGCTGTTTGCACAAAAATTAAAACAAGGATCCTTACTGTTTCTATGTGCATGCTCCTTCTTATTTTTTCAAAAGCACTAATAAGTACGTAACAGGTGGAACTAAACACACACACACACACACAGAAAACAAAAAGCTGCAGTCTTGCATTGGAGATCACATTTTGTTCCAAATGACACAAAACTCACCTCAGGGTTCCCATCCAAAGTGTAAAAACAAGAAGTCCAAAGCTATTAAGAACATCCAGGAGGCACAGTAGATATCTGGTGATAACTGTATTTTTTTGTCTCCTAATGGTTCCCCAAAGCCTGTACTTCATTTTAATGTAAAATATTCATATTCTGCCACCTTTGAAATTTTAATAGAAGGAAGGAAGGAAGGAAGGAAGGAAGGAAGGAAGGAAGGAAGGAAGGAAGGAAGGAAGGAAAATAATTGACAAAATATTTCGGTAAGGAGAAAAGACAAGGTGAGCAGGGAGGACATACAATAGACAATACTGTAAGTCTTTGGAAAGCGTAAATAGATGAAGGAGCGAAGACAAGAAGGAAAGACGATAAAAAGGTGAACATTGAAAAACATAAAGAAATAATAATGAAGAGACCAGGATGGAAGGGAGGAAAGGCATAAGGAAGGACTCAAGAAGGAGGGATTACAATGTTTATGTCTTTAAGAAGGATAATACTTGTATGGAAAGAAGAGAGGAAGGACATAGAGACTGAAGGAAAGATACAAAAAGAAGGAAGAAAAATCGAGGAAAAATACAAAATCTAATTCCAGACAGTAAAGGAACCCAAATGATACTCTGGAACAAAATCTGTCAGATCTGAGTATCCTCAACTAAACATTTTAAAGTCTATATAAATCACACAACATTTCTACATATTGAATTAATCTTCGAGTGCACAAGTTTATTTTCAGTAACAATATCTCCAGCAGAATCTACATTCTCAGGGAGTGAATTGCATTTGGAGGAGACGCAAAAGGGAGAGAAAGAGGAAATGAAAAGCACGGTTGAGACGGAGAAGGATGGAAGGTGCAGACTTTACCCTGATAACGCCATCTGTTTGGTACTTAGATGTGGACGTTGATGGCTGGACAGATGCACACACTAGGTCTGAGTGATAGGACGATAACATGAGACGAAGAACAGAGTGCTGCCTTTTTATAAGAGTACTTCATTGGAGTTAACTTTGCTCTACTGTAGCAACACCATCAACAGTCCTCTAGATCCCTGGTCTGCTGCCATTTTACTCCAATTTCTGGCCTGTAAAATTATGTTTTAATATTAATTTTAGATTGAGGGAGAACTTTTTAATGCATATTTGGAAGTCAGTCTTCATTAAGACCCCTAAAGACATAATTGCCATTTCCTCCAAATATTTCCGTTGGCTGATATAGATGTATTTTATGGCTTGTTACTGTTCGCTTGCATTACAAGAACTGAAGAGAGGAAGCAAGTCCAGAACATCAAGTAAATTCTTCCTAAAGTTTCCTTTAACCAACAACTACATGTCTGTCATGTAGTTTAGTTAGATAATTGAACTGACTTAATGTGACCCTTAACCTTTTTTTAAACATATTGTCCCTTTGCATTGAAAAAAATGCTATCTATTTCATCTTATTTTTAAGTGACAGACCAGCATTGAGTAAACTATAGCTGTTAAGTCAAAGAAAAACAAAACATTGATTTTTTTTTTCAGCTCCATTTAGTTGCAAAATAGTTCCCTGTTTCTAGAGGCTGGAGAGGATGGGTGAAAAGCAGATGTTACTTTTGGCACAGATTCTGGAATAAACC